CCCCCCCCCGCCCCCACGCCAGCAACCCTCAGTTTCTTCTCTATTGTTAAGAGTCTGTTATGGTTTGCCTCCCTCTTGAAGAGAACTTCTCAGAACATTACGTCATTCTAATTTGTAAACTGTATGTATAAATGGTTGATACCAGCAGCTCTGAATTCAATTTGAATTTTAGCTTTGTTGTAATGTAATCAAGTAAACTTAAAATTATAGAATTTATAGTTAATAGATTCAAGGCTTGGTTGATAATATTTTACTGTTTGGATCACGTTTCATGTGCAGTTCTTCTTTTAAGGTTTCAGGTTCGTTCTCCAACTTTCTTTCAAAAATGCCGGGACCAGCATTGGTATATTACTCAATTAGAAGCTGCACAAACTAGCTATATTCAACAAATAAATAACCTTAAAGAGGTAAGGAAAAAATGTATTATGGGTTTAGTGTTTCATATTGTGTTTTTGGCTTGATACATTTGTAACTAGATTTTGTAATTTTGTAGAAAAGTCCAATTATCTTATTCTCCCATCTACTTCCCACCTTTGAGCCTCTAATTTTACACTCTTCACAGTTTGTTAGCCATTAGCCACATATGGCTATGCAAACTTAATTAAAATAAAAAATTCAGTTCTTTAGTTGTACTGGCCGCATTTCAAGTGCTTCTATTGGGCATTGCACATATAGAACATTTCCGTACTGTATTGGACAGTGCTGCTCTCATTGAGGTAAACATTTTGTGTTTTTCTCAATGACTTGAGTATTTCTGTTTTCCATGCTGTCGTGAAGTCAAAGGATTCTAAGTTATAGAATAATTGAAAATTGCCACATCTTGAATTTTCACTATTCTTGAATGGAGCATTATGGAGGATCAGTTAAGGAATTTTTAGCTTACAGTGGTAAATTACATTATGTAAGGGATTCTTCTTTCTGCCAGTGGAAATTGAGATGGGGTAATAGGATTGAAGTGCTGAGAATGGTTAATAGAAAAGGGAGGAAATATGAATGAATACATGCTTTGAGAGATTTTTCATGTTAAGTGTACTATTTAAAACTGCTTATATTTATTGACTTTACAGTTTGCTAATTGTATGTGCAGCTTGGGCTGCATATAAGAAGAATGAGGGTAAATTGGGCAGATTTTTTTTTTTTGCCATAGATTTTTCCATAAGCAAAACCTGGAGGGAGTGAGAGAAATGGTTCAAAAATGTTTTTAGGAACATCTGGATATATCTTTTTACTGAAAATATTTTTACTGTACCAGGGAACTCTTCTTTTGACTCATGTTTATGTGTGCTGTTATTGTTTTAAAAGAGACTTACTATTGAGTTATCTCGAAGTCAGAAATCAAGAGATTTGTCACCACCAGATAATCATCTGAGCCCCCAAAATGATGACACTCCTGAGACACGTGCTAAGAAGCCTATGCCATGCACCGATATGCTTCTCCAGGATGGTCCTACTACAGCTTCTGTAAGAGATGTCAAAGAGGATGAAGAAGAGGAAAAGATTCAGAATGAAGATTATCATGTAATAATTAGACTTGTTTTAGATTCATTTTGTGCTTTGTAAGAGAAATGATAAGACCATGGTTTCCAGCATATATAGAGGAATCAATATACTGAAGGACTTCTCCATTTATTTTCTTTAGTAGAGTATGCCCTTCTGTAAATATTAAGTCAGAAGTTGAATCAAAGTGTTACAAGGCTCTAAAGTTAATTTATTATAGAAAACGTATGTTCTACCAAACAAACTGACACACATTCCGGAAAATATACAACTATACAAATTGTGGAATTAACAAATCTGATCTATTTCCATTCACTAAAACTAGTACAGTACCTTATTTTTGCATATGTAGGTAGAATCATTTAGGATTTGGGAGATAGCCAGGTTTTATGCTAGATAAACAACAACCAGAATGAGAATTTGAGAAGTGATTGTTACTGTTTCAAGTTATGGGTACCTGGGTGGCTCACTTAGTTAAGCATCCAACTCTTGATTTCGGCTCACTTCATGATCTCGTGGTTCATGGGATTGAGCCCTCGCTGTCAGCGCATAGCCTGCTTAGGATTCTCTCTCTGCCCCTCCCCCGCTCTCCCACTCTTTCTGTCAAAATAAATAAACATAAAAAAGAATAGAGTTGTAAAGTAAGACAGTGATGCAGAGACCAGCTTTTGTTGTTACAGTTGTTATTTGTAAGATAGGACACTTCAAGTATGTACTAAAATGAAGGAGCCAGTGGGGAGAGAGGTAAATTAAGGTATTGACAAAACTATTTAAGGAGATAATGGAGCACTCAGGTGAAGCAATTAACCTGTGAAAGGGGTGTTAATGGAATTAATGATGGGGTTTGGAGGTAGGGCAGGTAAAATTTGGGGGTATTTACACATAATAACCAGTGTGTTTTTCTATGCAGATAGGTGACAAGAGTTTTATGATGTCCTTGATGTTAGAGATTAGGTCGGACTACAGGGTGATGGTTTGAAATGTTACCCTATGAAGAGCCTCATTGGCATCTGCAGTGGAGTATATGAAGCATCTCTAGTCACATTGAAGGCCTAACTGAAAATGGCAGCAATAAGTTATTAGTGGAACCAGATAATGTGGTTGTGTGCTGTTCTCTAATGGGCTCAACTGCCTATGCACAGGAGAGAGAATTCTGATCATTTCATTATTCTTTGGTGCTTGGTCCATTGGCTGGATCAGATGATCAATGAGTAAAAACATTTGAGATAGAAGTCTTGTTTCTTTGCCTTGATCTAGCATGAACTTTCAGATGGAGATCTGGATCTGGATCTTGTTGGTGAAGATGAAGTGAATCACCTCGATGGCAGCAGTTCCTCTGCCAGCTCCACAGCAACAAGTAACACAGAAGAAAATGACATTGATGAAGAAACTATGTGAGTGTCTCACATTAACTGCCATAAAGCATCTAAGTAGTAATTATTAGAAGCATATTAACTAAATTTGGGCCTAAAAGTGGAGATACTCAGCATGTTTACTTGCTGTAGAGTATCTTATATAAATGAAGGAACTTGAAGGAAAGATAGTTTTCCTTCTTCACACCTCTGGGTTCCAAAGTTATCTTTAGTTTTTCTTTTTAATTTTTCAATTATTCAATTTAAGAAAAATGGAGAAAATGCTAGATAACAATTCCCATATTCCCTTTGTCCAGATTAATTCCCCAAATGTTAATATTTTGCTTAGTTCCTCTTTTCTGTATTTTATAAAAATATTTTTTGGTGAGACTTTCGAGTTAGGTGAATATACTTTTCGTTGTGTACTATGTTTCCTATGTAACTACAGTATAGTTATCAAACTCAGGATTTAACATTGATGTAATACTATAATCTGTTACCTTTTAAAAATTTGCCATTGATGTCCTTTGGTCTAGGATCCAAAGCAGTATTACATTACTTTTAGTTAAGTTTCTTTAGTCTTTAATTTGGATCACCTGATCTTTTTTGTTTGTTTGTTTGCTTGTTTATGACTTTGACACTTCAGAGTAAGAGCAGTTCTTTCCTAGCAAGCTTCAATTTGGGAGTTGTCCAAATGTTTCTTCACAATTAAATTAAGATTGTGCACTTTAGGCAGGAGTACTAAAGAAATTATGATACCTTTTCAGGACCTCATATGATGGAGTAGTGGGAGAGCACATGTCTTTTATCTCTGTACCATTAATTTAGATTATTTGGTTTAAAAAATAATTTTTTTAAATATTTGTTTATTTTTGAGAGAGAGAGAGAGAGAGGCAGAACGTGAGCAGGGGAGGAGCAGAGAGAGAGGGAGACACAGAATCCGAAGCAGGCTCCAGGCTCTGAGCTGTCAGCATAGAGCCCGAGGCGGGGCTCGAACTCCCAAACCGTGAGATCATGACCTGAGCCGAAGTCGGACACTCAACTGACTGAGCCACACAGGCGCCCCTAGATCACTTGGTTAACGTGATGTCTGTCAGGTTTCTCCAATCTGAAATTACTAATTTTTCCCTTTGTAGTTAATAAATACCCTATAGGGACATATTCTGAGGCTATAAATGTCTTCCCACCCTATCACCTGTTCCCCCCATTCCCCCACCCACCTTCCCTCTGGTAACCCTTAGTTTGTTCTCTATAGTTAAGAGTCTGTTTCCTGGTCCCCCCCTTACCCCCGTCTCTCTGTCTGTCTGTCTCGCGTGCGCCCACACACATTTTCTCTCTTTGCTCATTTCTTTTGTTTCTTTAATTCTACGTAGGATTGAAATCATATTTGTCCTTCTCTGACTTCATTTAGTGTTCATTATACCCTCTAGCTCCACCCATGTTGTTGAAAATTGCAAAACTTCATTCTTTTTGATGGATGAATGATATTCCTGTGTGTGTGTGTGTACACCAAATATTCTTTATCCATTCATCAGTCAGTGGACACTTGGGCTTCCATATCTTGGCTGTTGTAAATAGCACTGCTATAAATATAGAGGTGCCTATATCCCTTTGAATTAATGTTTTTATATTCTTTGGGTAACTAGTAGTGCAGTTGCTGGATCATAGAGTAGTTCTATTTTTAACTTTTTAAGGAAACTTCATACGGTTTTCCAGGGTTTACCAATTTGCATTCTCACCAACAGTGTAAGAGGGTACCCCTTTCTCTGTATCCTCCCCGACATCTGTTTTTTTCTGTTGATAATTTTAGTCATTCTGACAGCTGTGAGATGGTATCTCATCGTGGTTTTGATTTGTATTTCCCTGATGATAAGTGATGTTGAGCATCTCTTCATGTGTTTGTGTCTTCTTTGGAAAAATGTCTATTCATGTGCTCTTCCCATTTCTTCACTGGATTGCTTTTTGTGTGTTGAGTTTGATAAATTCTTTATAGATTTTGGATTCTAACCTATTATCTGACATGTCATTTGCAAATTATCTCCCATTCTGTCAGTTGCCTTTTAGTAGTTTTTTTTTTTTAATGTTTATTTATTTTTGAGAGAGAGAGAGAGCATGAGCAGGGGAAAGGCAGAGAGAGAGAGGGAGTCACAGAATCCAAAACAGGCTCCAGGTCTGAGCTGTCAGCACAGAGTCCAACATGGGGTTCGAACCCATGAACCATGAGATCATGACCTGAGCTGAAGCCAACGGTTAACCAACTGAGCCACCCAGGCACCGCTAGTTTTTTTTATTGTTTTCTTTGCTGTGCAGAAGCTTTTTATCTTAGGTCACAATAGTTCATTTTGCTTTCATTTCCCTTGTGAGTTCCTTAAATATCCCAAACTGGCATTGGTTAGTGTTGTTCCATATAGCACTCTCATTATAATAAGTGGGGCATCTGGATGTCTCAGTTGGTAGAATATGTGACTCTTGATCTTGGGGTTGTGAATTTAAGCCCCATGTTGGACATAGAGCTTACTTAAAATCAATCACTAAGTAAATAAGGAAATTAAAAGAAATTTTTTAATTAAAAAAATAAAATAAAGCAATAGTAGTTTTTTTGGTAGGAAAGATTTTGTGAGGACTTTGGTAGGAGGCAACACCCTTTTTCTGAAATACCATCTTAAGAAAACAGTATTGATGGGGTGCCTGGGTGGCTCTGTTGGTTGAACAGCTGACTGACTCTTGATTTCGGCTTAGGTCATGATTCCAGAGTTGTGGGATTTAGCCCCGCATTGAGCTCCACACTGTATGTCAAGCCTGCTTGGGATTCTCTGTCTCTCCCCCACTCGCATGTACACTCTCTCTCTTTAAAAAAAAAAAAAAAAAAAAAAGTAATCATATATGTTAATTTGATCTTTTTTTAACCTTAAAGGTAGTGTTTTAAGCCTAATTTCTTACCATTAAGTTATAAATTCTTTAAAGCTATATAGTTCCTTTTGCTTACAATGGTTCTCATATTTTCTATTTTAAAAATTAAACATTGGGGTACCTGGGTGGCTTAGTCAGTTAAGCGTCCGACTCCTGATTTCAGCTCAGGTAATGATCTCATGGTTTGTGAGTTCAAGCCCTGCACTGGGCTCTGTTCTGATAGGGAGGAGCCTGCTTGGGATTCTCTCTCTGCCCCTCCCATGCTCACATTCTGTCTCTCAAAATAAATAAGTAAATTTTACAAAAGAAAAATGTTGCCAACCATCTCGGTGTTTTTGAAAGGTAGTTTGAACATTAACACTACCATGATAATATTAAAAGTCCTTTTCCTCATTTCCGTATTGAGAAATAGCATGTCTTACTTTGTAGGAGAAAGCTATGCACTACTGTTTTAAAATTCATCGAGGTGTGACAAATGTTAATTGTCCTTACTGTATAGGAATGATGAATTTTGTATATTCTTAGGTCAGGAGAAAATGATGTGGAATACAACAACATGGAATTGGAAGAGGGAGAACTTATGGAAGATGCAGCTGCTGCAGGACCACCAGGTACAGAGGCTAAGATGCACAAGCTGTTCTGTCTTCTCTTTCCTCTTCTCTATCATATTTTAATATATGGCAGCCACTGCTCTATATAGCTTGTGGTATTGGAAGTGCTATATATGTATATAACATTGTATATTGGAAGTGTCAATATATATTATGTATCTTAGAGTGTATACTAATGGTATTTAAAACAGCAATAATAGCTAACATTTGGTAAGTGTTCTTACATACCAAGGATTGTGCGCAAGCACTTTTATATGTACCTTTTCTCATTAATTTCTCACATTCTGTGAGATAGATTTTAATATTATCTACTTTTTATAGCTGTACAAACTGGTATGTAGAGAATTTAAGCAACTTGCTCTCATTCACAATTTAGTAAATGAAAGAGGGATTTGAGTTTTGGGTTTGTCTGAATCCATAGTTCTTGGTCTTCTCTACGGTTATGTATTAATTATCCTTTTTATGATATTTGTCTTGTTTGTAAATCTAATTTAACTATAGAATAATCTGAATAGATTCATGGACTGTGACTTACAAAGGACTTTTTGAGAGCTCATCTTATGCATTGAAAAAATTTGAGATTTAATTGCCTAGGTCACATAGGTAGCTGTTGGTAAAACTAGTCTAGAGCTCCATATCATCTTTTTCTTAGATTCCGATTTTTGCCAAACCACACTGTTCTTGTTGGGATGAAGTGGCTCAAATGCTGAGTTTTTCTCTTGTGTTCTTGGACCTGTTTAATTAAGCATGCAAATCTTGGCTAAAATAATTATAAGCTAGCTTTGTATTGCTATTTATTGATGTTGCCCTTGGTACAAACACTGGCATATTCTGTGGCGTGTTTGGATCTCTGAAGACCTCTTAAACATTGGAAGCCTTGCAACTTCCACCCATGCTTTGTACTCTTCCTACTTCTCACATTTTTCTAGGTGATTTCAGTTCCACTTGTACTTCAATTCTATTTATATGCTGATTACTCTCTAAGTTCTAGCTCTAGCTTTTATTTTTCTCATAACTTCCAGTTCCATGTAGCTGTGTGGTTTTGATGTTAACAGATTCAGTGTCTCCCAAACAAATCATTGTCTTTTTATCTGTCAGCCTGCCTATCAGTAATAGCTCATCATCTTAGTGATTGATGGTGCTATACATTCTTCATCTTTTCCTCTTGCTTAAATTCTGCTTGTAATACATTACCAAAATCTGTTGATTCTACCTAAATAGTGCATTGAATTCATTTGTACTTTCCTTTGACATTCCTAGTCTAGGCCACTGTCCTTCAAAATAGTCTCTTGTCTGGGTTCCTTGTATCCATTATTCTTCCTTTCATATGCTCAAAATGAGTTCTTTTTCCCCCTTCAAATTTATATCTGATCATGTCACTTCTCTACTCTAAAACCCTTTATTGAATTCCATTTACTTACAGGATAAAATCCAAACTTGCTTAATGGTACAGAAGACCTTTCATATGCTGACTTCCTACTCACTTCTGTAGCCTTACGTCTCTCACACTTGCCTCTGTCATTTTTTAGTCTAGAGGAACTTCTTTCATCCCCCCAAGTGTGCTTCCCACCATGTTCCTTGTGTCTCTCCTCATGCTGGGCGTAGCTCCTATTCCTTCTTAATTTTAGCTTGTATTCTATTCCTGGAAGCCCTCCTCAATTGTGTGCCCTGGGTCTTTTTCTGCTCCCTCAAATTAACCTATTAGAATAAATATTAAACCTGATTATAATTGCTTATTTAACTGCCCATTATCCCTTTTGGCTCTGAGCTCCACAAAGCTGTATGCCAAGAAATAATGCACATCTTAATTTTGTATCCCTGACATTTAAAAATATAATAAGTGATCATTTAATATTTTTCAGATAAATATTGAGTGAATATATTTATTTTTACTAAGTGTTGAATGTAATTTTTAAAGTTTTAAATAGTATAGAAAAATTCAGGGGCGCCTGGGTGGCGCAGTCGGTTAAGCGTCCGACTACAGCCAGGTCACGATCTCGCGGTCCGTGAGTTCGAGCCCCGCGTCGGGCTCTGGGCTGACCGCTCAGAGCCTGGAGCCTGTTTCCAATTCTGTGTCTCCCTCTCTCTCTGCCCCTCCCCCGTTCATGCTCTGTCTCTGTCCCAAAAATAAATAAACGTTGAAAAAAAAAAAAGAAAAAAGAAAAATTCAGAGGCTATCTTGGTATAAAATGGAAGATGGATATATTAAATCAAGGTTACTGAATATTTTTCAGCCTTCTGGGATACTTTTTCTTAGTTAAATCTGTCATTTCCTCTCTTAAACTATATAACAGGGAAATACTTATGTAAAACATTTTTATACATACTGGGTAATGGGTAAATAAGAGGTTATATTTTTCAATTTATTCATTCATTCACCAAATACTTATTGGACACTTGCCTAGAACTATGTACTATTTTACTATCTGGAGCTATAGTACTGAATAAAAAGACTTCTCTATTCCATGCTGCTTATGTTCTATAATTATGAAATTGTAATTCATTTATTTACTTTAAAAAATTTTTTTAATGTTTATTTGTTTTTGAGAGACAGACAGGGCACAAGCAGGGGAGGGGCAGAGAGAGGGAGACACAGAATGAAGCAGGCTCCAGGCTCCACACTGTCAGCACAGAGCCTGATGCAGGGCTCAAACTCACAAACTGCAAGAGCATGACCTGAGCTGAAGTCAGACGCTAAACCTACTGAGCCACCCAGGCACCCCCGAAATTGTAATTTATTAATTCAATAAATAGTTTTGGGGACCTGTTATACCTCAGACACTAAATTGTGGGTGCTGAGGATACAATAGTGAATCATACCCAGATAATTTTTATTGTATGCTTTTGGGAATTTTAAATACTTGGCATTTGTCAAATGCCTTTCCTATATCAAGATTTTTGGGAAATACAATGAAAATTACTTACTCTTAACATAATTGATAATTTAAAGGTGAATAGATGTATGAGCAGATAGCTGAGATACGTAAGATAGTACACCTACAAAAGAATCCCAGTTTCTTTAGATATTGCCTCCTCAGGAGGTAGAACATAACTCCCTACCCTTAAATGTGGGCTATGCTTAGTGACTTGCTTAGATGAAAATATAGTGGAAAGGGAGAAATAATTTTATGCCAAAGAAACAGGGCAAACATTATTGTAGCCAAATTATCAAATTTAACATCATCCATGTTGTCATGTTGATAGCATATGTACCCTTGTTATGATGTGTTGAGAATTGTACTTTACATCTGTGGTGTTGTCCTCCCAAAAACCCATAAACACGATCTAACCACGAGAAAAACACCACATGAACCCTTGTTGGAGGAACATTTTATAAAATATATGACCAGTACTTTTCAAAACTGTCAAAAGCAACAAAATTCTGAGGAATCACCCCAGACCAGAGGAACCTAAGGAGAAATGACCATCTAGGTGTAATTTGGTATTCTAGATGGAACCCTGAGACACAAGAAGTACATTAGAGAAAGATTAATGAAATCTGAATAAAGTACAGATTTTATTAGTTAATAATAGCATATCAGTATTAGTTCATTAGTTGTGATAAATGTACCATGATGATGAAAGTTGTTGACAGTGGGAAAAATGGATTATGGGATTTATAGGAATACACTGAATTATCTTTGCACCTTTTATAGAAATCTAAAACTATTCTAAAATAAAACATTTTAATATATAAAGAGAATAAAAGCTGAATTAAGGGTGAGGTGGGGCTGAGTGTGGAATGTATTATTGTTATAATTTAATTATGGAAAGTCCATTTCAGGCTTGAGTTTCATATTTCAGAACCACACAATCATCTAAAGAATTATATCAGTTAAGATGTTAAGTTATCCACTAACTAGAAGATCTTCGTTACACAGAAGCTAGGTATGAGGTAAAATAACATTTACTTAATTTCAATGTGTAGATAGTATTAAATAAGGTTATAGCTTGAAATAAATATTTAATGACTCAGGTGGCCTCATTCCATCAAGAATGCTTTTAGTTTATTCAGTTATTTTCATTAGTTACAAGAGAACTTCCGCTTATATTAAGTACTGAAAATGTAAATAAAAAGTTTCATTGTGAAAGTATTCTTTTTATGAAAAAAACTTTTAAATGTTCATTTTTGAGAGAGAGAGAGAGAGAACGAGCAGGAAAGGGGCAGAGAGAGAGACACACAATCTGAAGCAGGCTCCAGCCTCCAAGCTGTCAGGACAGAGCCTGGTTGCGGGGCTGGAACTCACAAACTGCGATATCATGAACTGAGTGGAAGTCGGACACTTAACCAACTGAGCCATCCAGGTGCCCCTCGTAAAAGTATTCTAATCTAGAACATTAGCTAGTTGAATCTTGTTTGAGAACTAAAAGATTCTAGTAATATGACGCACTTGTATAACAAATTGATGTTATGTAGGTTATTACCTAAAACATTTGTTACTTATTTTGGTTAAAGACCTTTAAGGTTACTTGTTCCACAGGTATTTAATGATTGCCCACTTGGCATCAGGCATTGTGTTCATTGGGATAATAAGATGAATGAACATTATCTTTCTAAAATGAGAATCTAGCACTAGTGATTACAGAACTTTGTGATTGTAAATACAGCTATAGGGTGATACTAAAAATAGAACAGGTAATTAGGAATGAGTGAAAAAGGCTTTAGAAAGGGAGTGGTGCTTGCTTTTGTTCTTGAAAGATGAGCTAAAAGTTCATTAGAGGAGCAGGGAAACAATGAGATTAAGAGTGGAAAGGCATTCCAAGCAAAAGATGCAGCATTGTTCTTTTTAGAAACTTGAAATATTGAGACTTGATATGGGGGCAGGCCAGTGGAGATTGGTAAGCAGGAACCCAGATCAGGTAATGGAAAGTTTCATTTGCTAGGCTAAGGATTTGGGGCTTTATTCTGTGGAACCATTAAAGGTCTTTAAAAAGAAGTGTGATCAGATTTGGTTACATAGTGGAAGATGAGTTAAAGGACAAGATTAATTAGAAACTAC